GAGCTAAATAATTACTGTCAAGCAGGCAGGTATGCTTCTGAAGAGAATAATCTGGCTATCATAGCCAACCAGCCTCCCTTTAGTGTATGGATTACTCTAAGTAAACTACATTCTGCTAATAGGTTTCTAGTTACTTCAACAATAGTATTTTGCTGACATGTATGTCGAGGTTTGTTTCTTCAGTGTTCAAAAAAACAGTTACTAAGATTTTGTCAGTAGGGTCAGGAGAAAGTGATTACATCCAGAACATTAGCTATGGCCTAGGGAAAGCATACAAGAAAAAATTATATTTTTCTTAGATGATAGAGACCACAGTAACAGTCTAGGGCAAACCATATAAATGTCCAGAAAATGAATCTTATTCTGTTACCTCCGGTGGAATAGAGTCATGTGAAGTGTCCTTAGTTTAAGATCTAGGACTAAACATCTAAGTTAAGAATGGCATACCAGGTAAGAACCAAGAAAGGATGATGATTCTTCTGCTACATTCTGACTTTCCAGCAGTGAGGGTGTTCCTTTCCTAATAGATGGGTGTTGATTGACTTTCACAATCACATGATTGGGATAACCAGTCCCTGAATCTATTGCTTCACTCCTATTTCCAGTCCCCATTATTTCTAATCCATAGCATTTGCTTGGATTCATCTCTTAGTAACTTCTTTCTAATGTAGTTTATACCAGACTAGAAATACCCTTTCTCATGAATATTATTTTATGAACTGTAATTCAAATTTATCTACCAAGGCATCTAAAATTCTTGCTAATTCCTGTTCATCAGATTAGCAGCATCATTTAGCAGGATATTATCATTATGAACAACCAAAATGAACCCGTGTGATGTCTGGTGACATGTCAAGACAACCAACATCTCTATAGATTATGTTAAAGAGAATTAAGTTACCTCTGAGGCAATACTGTAAAATTATAGTGTTGGCTCTGTTTGGTAAACTCCAATTAGAAAATGGCATTAGTTAAGTCTATTGCTATATATCAATTTTCAGATGATCTGTTAATTTGTTACAGTTAAACACACACACACACACACACAAACCCAAAAAGCTGTACCTGTGACAAAAGTCACAACTGAAATTAATTCCTGATTAAAGTTATGATGATCCAGTCATTCTCAAAGATCTATATGATATTGCCAAACTGGTGAAGCGAATGAGAATTTGTAGCTCCATTCCTCCACCATCCAAGCAGTTTATGATGGCATTAATTGCTTCTGATTTACTGTCTTAGAAGAGAGTGAAAGTTTTCATTTAGCTCTTCCTACTACAATGGCCTTCACCTTGTGGGTTAGGAAAACAATGTGGGAATAATGTTAGCTAGTCTATCTCAGTTCAAGAATTGGAAAATAACCTCACAAATGGTGTTGGGCCAACAAAACTAACAGGACAACTAGCTGAGTATGGCCCAAGACTTCCTGATGAACAAGATAAACTTCTATGTTGATTACAGGGCCACAGTTGTATTCTATGTGGTCCTAGGAACCAATTCAGAGTGAGTATCTAATAAACTGCAAAGGATCACAAATTTTCCTTTTTCCAAAGCACATTATCTCTAGTAAATGGCCACACCACCTCTTTGGGGAAGCAAGGAGGACATTTGCTGTATGTACAGTGGCAGTGGTGACAGGTTCTTCCTAAAAGGGACATGCTTATCCTTCAATCCAGTGGTTCTGGGTCTATGATCTTATGTATACCTGAAAACTGAGAGGCTCTGTTTGTCCACTGGAGTGACTCAAGTCAGATTTTGGCTGCCTGACTTAGAGCTTTTCTTATTAGAAATTTCAAGCAACACTCGTGTAAGTTTGCTTATATATTTGTTTGTAGGGTATCTCTCTAGGCCAAGACATTCTGATTGCTTATATACACTTGCTGCCACTTAACTGGGATATAGCCACATTGTCTTTAGTGGTTAAGCCTTTTTGGTCACTGCTCTTCTGGGATTCACCTCTCTTGAAATCGGAGAGCCAATCTTAATAGTGGCATCTTCTGTAGTCTAACATGGCATTCAGAGGGGAATATCCACAGAGATATTCAAAGATGCGTGTTCCTGTCACTAATGTTTCTTAAGTTTTCAGTGAAGAGGTCCAGATGCCTTCTGGACCTCTTCATGGAACACGGTTGGGACAGGTTTGCTAGTTGCTTATGATAATCATTGTAGATCATTTACCTAAAACTTTGGTGTTTCTGTTCCACATCATTATCAGAGAGGTATCTCAACTTGAGAAACAACAGGTCATCATCAAGTCCAAGTTTCCATCAATCAATCAATTAACTAAGCTGTTAGAAATACCTTTAATTGTATGAGTCAACACATATAATTATCATCATAGTAATAGATTTGGCTCAATATTATTAAATTTCATCCTCCATGGTCTAACACCCTTTGAACCCATTTCCACATCTAGTTTGTTTCTCCTAATACATTTTACCACGTTCTTGCAGTTACTATAGTGAGTACGTTATTTATAAGTTGTTTTGGAATTCTATTTAACAATCATCCTCTTAATATTTTTACATGTGAAATTTGACACATCTGTGAATTCAATAGTAGCTGTTATTCAATAACCTGAAAATTAAATTTTTACATTTAGCTTTCACCAGTAATATTTTGTTGATAAATAAGAGCTTCTTCTAGAATTGTTATGGACATTCTCTGGTTGTCATATCACAAATATGAACTGTGTTTGTAATTCTCTCTGTAAACTTTCAAAGGAACTAGAAATAAAATTCATTTATACCAGTCCCATAGTTACTGTATAGCCATAACAGATAGGTGTAGCTGCTGTTTTGGTCCATGAGACAGTGCCACATTTGGTACTGTGCATCACTATCAGCCACAGGTGATCAGCTGATTAACTGGGGTGCCCTGTGTGCCATGAATTATTAGCATTTAATTTTCTTTTGGCAAGGAGCTTCAGCCCAAAGACTTTATCAAACCCATCTCTTAATCTCAGTTTTGCAGGTCTATTTCTTGATATGACTCCAGGAACAGGTAAAGCTTAATAAAAATACTTACTATAAAAGGGGATTAGAGTAATGATGGATTAACTTGCAAGGAGAGAATTCTAGGGAATATCGAAATCACAGCTATAAGCTATGACCTTATAACTAACACCTGGGAGATAAGCATTCTCAAAGTCTCTTTCAGGTCCCCGTGGAGAGGACACAGCCTGGCTCCCTGAATGAGAAGTCAGTTTAGTCCACGCTTGCAGAATTTGTTGAAAATCTGCCCTCTGAAATTTGCTACATCTTATCTTTAAGGTGCTTTTAGGAAGTTATTCATAAGGTAGTGTCTTATTTTAGGACTTCCACTACGAAAACTCTAGCATTGGGTCCTAAAGGAAACTAGAGCCCTCCAGCACTATTGGAGCTCAACAGAGGCTAAAGTTAGGTATCTGCAAGAGCCTGCCAACCAAAATACCAAACTCTTGAAAGAAAAGTATTGTCTTCCTGTGATGTTTCTTCAGCGCCATCTATAGATTACGTTTCAGCTCCAGTTGGCAAAACTCAAGCTACTTAAAAAGGCCCAGATCCATTGTCATCGTGCAGTCAAGAAGGATGAATTTGTAATTGAGAGACAACATAAACCATTAATCTGCGCAAACATCAATTCGCAGGTTCCCCTCATAGATTTTATAACCTGATGTCTACACCTGCCTGAAGGGTCCTTTGGCAGGCTTTGCCCCCACGGGGTTACCCAGGATCTCACCAAAAGCCAACTGCGAAAAGATGATCCTGAAAGAATTAGCTGTCCCCTTCTATTTTCCTACATCTCCTCACGGAGTTCCCGCCCTAGGCTCCACAGGCCTGGCTCAAGGACAGGAAACCCGGGTAGAAAAAGGTGGTTGGGAAAAAGAGCAGACACTGAGAAACAAGGTCCGCCTGTGCCCTAACCCTTTCCAGGGTCTCAACCCCGGTGACGCCGCCTCCCGGCTCACAAAGCTGTCTGGGGTCTTCCCAGCGCCCGCGAGCAAGGCGGCAGACGCGGGGCGGGCTCGGCGGGCGGCGCGCGCTGATTGGGCGCCCCGGAGCCCGCCCCCCCGCCCCCCCGGCGCGTCGGGAGGGGGCGGAACCAGCCGCCCGCTCGGCTCTCGGGCTGCGGGCGCCTATTGACCCAGCTGCCGCTGCGCCGCCGCTGTCTCCTCCTGCTCGTGGCGGGCGGTGCAGAAGCGCCTAGTGGCGCTGGAGAACCGGCGCTTCCTTTCGCGGCTGCTGCCGCCATCTCCGCGTTTGCGGGGCGGGAAGGAGGAGGGGACTCGCGGCTGCAGCTGGAGCGGGCTTCTCTCTGGGGACTGTCCTCTCCTCGCTCTCCTTTTCCTCCTCCTCGTGCCACCGCCACCGCCCGCCCCCTGCGCCCTCCTCAAGAAGCCCGGGTCCCGGAGAGGAGAGGAAGGGGAGGCGGCTCTGGAACGCATGCTGGAGGAAACTCCTGCTTGATCTGTGCGCCCCCACGCCCAGGGTGCTCCCCAGTCTGGCCTCAGCGGCGGCGGCGACATCTGAAAAAAAGGCTTGGGGGAGGCGCCGCGGACCCGGCCATCCCGGCGCTAAGTTGTGGGGCCCGGCTCCACCCGACCTGAATCCTTTCCCCTCGGCTCTTCCGACCCAGCTCCGCGCCGTCGGCCCCGCAGCCGCCGAACCGACATCTACTTGGTGAGGTGGACACGCCTGCCCTCGTCGAGAAAACTTTTCCTGCTGACTTGCTCGGGGTGGCGGTGGCAGGAAGTCGGGGTAGGGTTTCTCTGCCTGCCCGGAGCGCCCTGCCGGGTGCGGACTCTGAGCTCGAAATCAAGTTTGAGGGGCCCCTTCCGGGCTGCGAAGCCGTCCCGCCTCAGAAGGAATCCCGGCCCCAGGAAGGGCGGCGGGCCAGAGCGAAGGCCAAGGGCGCGCGGCGGCGCCGGAGCCAAGGTGCTGAGCGCGGCCGGGCCCAGCGCCCGCAGCTAAGAGCGCGGCGAGCACGAGCCCGAGAGCGGGGAGCCTCTGGCGGCCGCTTCCAGGAGTCCACAGGCTGCCTTCTCCTCCGGGTGGGGACGGTGTCCTGTGCCCGAGTCTGTCTAGGAAAGATGAAGTTAAGCCGCCAGTTCACCGTGTTCGGCAGCGCGATCTTCTGTGTTGTGATCTTCTCGCTCTACCTGATGCTGGACCGGGGCCACTTAGATTACCCCAAGAACCCGCACCGCGAGGGGTCCTTTCCTCAGGTAAGCGCCGCGGGGGCCGGAGCTTGGGGCCCGGGCATGGGGCCCCTAGTTTTCCACTGTGCGGTGACCTCTCCATGTTGTCATGCCTCTGCGCCCGGGCACACGAGGCCGGAGTGGAGCAGGGTCGGCCTCTCCTCCGGCCGGGGCTCCGCAGCGTTTGGACGGCGGTGGCGGTGACCCGGGAGCCTCAGCCTCCCCGGCGCGCGGAGTTGACAAAGTGCCGGGCTGCTGGCGGTGGCGGGATCACTCCGGGAAGTGGCCATGTTCCCGCACACGCAACGGGCCTGCTGGGATGGGCCAGGGCACCTGCTGGCCGCGGACCGGCGCGGCGTGGGACGCCCCCTGGCAGCCCCGGCTCCGCGGTCCGCGGTGGGTGGCCGCTCGGACCCCTCAGGGTTAAGCTGCGGGCACCCTCTACGCGCACCGAGTAGCGGAAATGGATCAAATGATCCAGGGGGTGCTTTCTTCTTCCCCCTGTGTCGGTTGGGAAATAAACAAAAGTTTTATTTCGTGTTGCACACCGTTTGGATGTGAATCTGTAAGGTTGATTTTAGTGTCGTCATTCTTAAGCTCATGCATCGGGTTTGTTTGGAGCGGAGGTGGGAGCCTTGTGGAAGCGCGTGTTATACATCGGCCGGAAGCTGTGGGGCGCTCAGCCCTACGCCCGGTGGTCAGATTGTCAAACGAATTGGGGAAACGACCCCAATTAAGCCTTTTATTTAAAGTTACTAAAATAAGTCAAGGGACACAGTTTCCCAGTTTGGAAGAATTCCGTGTCATGTGTGCGATTTCAGTTTCAAATCATTGGCGAATCAACCTACCCTTAGAAATTTCAGTAACTGAATAATCTGTAGTATCCCCAGTAATGAATGAACCTGAAGTATCAAAACCCTGACAAGCTAAGCTGTTAGTTATTTTAAACTTCAGGAACATGGGACGGGAACAAGATTTCTTTCTCTTCTCCCAACTCTCCCCAGCCCTTAGTCACAATTTAAATGAGGGTCTGAGGGTGTCTAAGGGTGTCATTGTCGTTTATTTTTTGATAGGCTAGGACTAATGGCCTGAGTTTAACTGAAACTACATTTTTTTCCTGAAGTAGTATTAGAGTGGAAAATGACCCCCCCGTGGATGTTATTGGCTATTAGAGCACTCAAAATAGTTTGCAAGTGAGAGGTATTAAAATTAAAAATTTTGTTGCAACATTTTAAAATCTGCTTATCTTAGGTTCTGTGATAGAGAAAATATAGTAAGATACTACTATGGGATATCTTTAAATCTTGAGTTTAGAGTTTGTACATTGTGGATGAGTTTGGAGAAAATAATTAAAAAAAAAGGATAAACCTGAAATCAGAGCAAGAGTATGTGTGAGCCTCTTTAATATGTTGTATATTTTGGGGGTTAAATTTACTCAGATTTCCCTCCCCTCATCCCCTAGTCATTACCCTCCATCTCCCAATTTCAGCATTTTCTTCATTACAGGAAAAGTCATAGAAACCAATATATTTCCTTGAATAATGTCCTCTGTCTTTCACTTGATGATCACTTGGAAGTGATTTATGCTAACATTTGGGGCTAGGGTTCTCTGCAGCCTTGACATTTTACTATTTCTAAAAGAGTGACTCATTCAGTTACTAGGAAATTTTAGACAAAGTTAATTTCAGTGTTTTAATACCAATTCCTGTTCCACATTAAGGGGCTGAACTACTTAGAGTGTAAATCCTTGATGGGAAATGACTGGCTTCTGGAAGAGAGTACCCTGTTAGTATTTTGTTTTCAGTGGAAGAGGAGAGGGTTTAGAAGGTGGAGCTATCTTTTAGTTTTCCTTAATCAGATTTTTATTACAGAATTTTTGATCCAGGAAGAAGGTGCCCTTTAAAAGCTTACTTTTGGAGAGCCACTAAATCTCTAAGCAGATGGACAGGATAAAACACTATAAGCCCAATTTATATGTCTTACATGGTAAACTCTATTCCAATAATCATCACCCTGTAGGTGAAGAAATTGAGGCATGAAGAGATGGATAATTTGCCCAAAGCCACACCATGAAGTTGACATTTTAACAGGCCAACAAGCAACTTTTGGAATATTGGCTTTCCGCCATTGTGCTGTAATGTTTCTTGCCTCCTGTTTAGGCCCAAATTCCGATGTAGAAGATAGCATGTTGCACACGATGTAGAAGATAGCATGTTGCGCTGTAGCTTATTAAGACTTTTGTTAAGTGAAACTTATATTATGAGTGTGCTCTTTTTCTGAAACATTTAAATGCCTGGAATTTATACTTCTCCCAGAATTTAGCTCACTTTACAGCTAATATTATAATGAAGTATTATAATGAAAACTTATATAGCACAGCATCCAACATTTGAGTTTTTATTTTTTTCCCCACTACTTTCAACTCCAGTGTAAGCCTTATTTTGATGCAAGCATCATATAGTAAAAGTAGGTTGTAATATATTGCTTTGTGAGTTTAGTTACTGAATTCCTGAATTTTAATAGAACTGAGCTCTATTCTAATTTTAAAGTAGAATTTTAATTTTAGTAAGCAAATTACTCACTAAATTATCATTTTTGATAAGATGATTTTTCTTGAAAGAGATTAATTTTCTCTTAACTATCCATTTTTGTTACTTTCAGTTAATATTAAACCTTCAGTAAGGTGTGGATCTGTCTTGTGAGCACGATACTGTTTTAAAACATCCTAGATTGAGAGTAATTTGTTATTGTTATTCTGTCTTTCATTCTTTTTTCTCTCACAAGTCTGTTTTCTACTTTACCAGTCTCTGGAGAGGGACTGATCCCAATTCAAGAACTTCTGTGTCTTAGACCTGGCGGGTAGTTAGCTGCCTCCTTCTGAAAAAGTCTTTAGGAGGCTCCCCTCCTGTATTGCTGGAATTCCTTTGAGGCCTAGAGGCAACAGGTGGCCTTGTCTATTTTAGCTTGTGTATATACTCCAACGATAACTTCAGCTAGAAAAATTAATAAAAATTCCATTCTGCATTCGAAGCTAATCTGGATTTACTGGCCTGAGGGGCCTTTGAGGTAACTTAAGATTTCAAGCAGCAATAAAGGAGAAACGTTGTTGTTGAGGTGTTCTTGAAAATTTTGAACACTTTTTTTTTTTAAAGATTTATTTATTTGTACAGAACTGGGGTACAGGCCAGAGATGTAGCGGGTGAGAGGATTCACCAGAGACAGTGGGGAGCCAAACAGGCAGATCCACGAAGTACACTGTTGAGGGGAGCAGCGGACGGGTCAGGAGAAGTCTGCATGTGGATCTCCTCCGGGGGCAGGCAGGCATCGAACTCATGTGGAAGTGGCTTAAGCTTCTTAGTGCTGTGCTTTAACCCGCTGCGCCACCAGGGAGGGCCAAATTTTGAATACTTTTAAGCAGACTTTACAAGGTGCTTACTGTCTAAATTGTGTGGAATCAGATGCCTTATTAAAGTCTTATATTAATGAGTCAGATTTTGTATAACAAATCAATCCTTAAATAATTAATACGGCAGAAGATGACAAGGCTTAATATTAACACTTGAAAGTCATTCAGAGATTGGGACTCTGATGTAGAAGTGATAGTAAAGTTCTGACTTTATGCTCAGATAGCATTTATCAACTGAGAAAATAAAAAATGTATTTAAATAAGTATTTGATTGAATGGCCTTTGAAAGTACATTTTTATGCCTTTTGACTTTTTAAATTTTTATTGTGAAAATACAATGCACACAAAAAAAATGCTTGATATTTTTAAAGAATCCAGTGTCGTTGATGGAAATAAAAGTTGACCTCAGTTCCCCAGTTATTCCAGTTATATTCCGAAATCTCTGACTTTTAAACCTTAAGAATGACCTATGGAAAAAATGTGATATTCCACACTCCAGTGTTTTCTATCTGTAAACTGTAACAGTTGTTGCTGGGGTTTGTGCAGGTGTATATGACTTTGTCTCATTTCTTGGAGGAGTAATTTGGGATCTGTAACTTTGTGAAGTGATGGCTCTTTGGACATTGGTGGCATTTAGGGATGCAGGCACATGAGAATCTCTGGAGAAGGTGGTCTTCTCCATTCCACCACTTTGTGTCTACTAATCCTGTGGAACTCCTACCCAGCTTGATTCACCAAGATCCAAATTTGTTTCCTGTTAGTCAGTTGAAATATCACTCACCTGTTCTGAAGACTTTTTAAATTGAATGAATTGAATTGTGTTGTTCTCAGATCAGCTGTTATCAGTGCCTAAGTACTTGGGAGATGTAATTCTGTTTATTCACAGGGGATTTTCTCTGTTACTAGTAGTAATTAGCGTTAGGGGATATTTGGGTTGTGGGCAAACAAACTAAAATTACCAATTTTATTTGTTCCAACTTTGAGTCAGCCATTGCTTTTTGTGATAATCCTTACAGCTTTGGACTTATTTGAAAGAAGGGAGTAATGTTGAGGCTTTCCTAGGAGGTGGAACTAGTTGCTGCTGATCCCCAACTTTCTCCTTAGCCCTTTGGATCCAGCTGTCTTAGTTGTCCCTTCACCTCCACACAAATCTTTAATACAGTGGGAGACAATTCAACAGCTGGAATGTAATCTATAGTTGCTGGATGGTAAAGGCCTCATGGTGTTTTTGCCTCTTTAAGCTTTTAGCACTGGCTTTTATGTAGAGCATGTAGAAAACGGAGAGGGTGAGAAACTCTAAAATAAATATTGCTTCTTTCATAGTTGTCATTAATAGGTTGATCATGTGAGGAAGTAGATCATTTTAGCTGAAATAGGCTTATGTTTCGGTTACAGATTTCAAACCCAACTGCTAATTTTAAGGTTGAAACCATGTTTCACCTTAAGCCAATTGGACGGTTGATATACTGAAATGGGAGTTCAGACCTGGTGCTGAGTATTGTTACATCTGCTTGTGGCAGCAGGAAGGAAGTCATTTGATTTGAATGAACTTGGTCTTGTCTCTTGAGGTGATAGCATAGGTTTTCTGTGAGATAGAGTATTTTTAAGGTAATGTTATTTG